TGAGATTGAGTTATTACAGTGGGCAGTGGTGTTGGGAACTGATTGTGTAGAGACTTCTTTACTGTTACAAGTACCAGAATAGATAATACTATCTTTGTAATTAGCTCGTCACTATAACTAAATAGCATACATTTGTGTGTCTGAAGAATTACAACCCTTTGCTGTAACACTTAAAGTGTCTGCATTTAATTTGGCTATATTTCCATTCTATTTCATGAGTAAATACTTTTCATAATGATCCTCTAAGATATGACATTATGCTTTGTGAAATTAATCTCTTTCTAGAGATGTCCAACCCATATGGAAATTGAGCATCTTCTAAATTACATGAATTAAAAGCTTTTCAGCCTATCCCCTAAAAAACCTAATAGTGCCATCAAATCACTGAGGAAACAGAAAAAGAATAACACCTGAACCTTATAGAGCTCCTTATCCATGGAGAAATATACTGTTTAATAAATAAATTCATGATAAGCTGTGTCTGTGACAGAACCCTGCATGTGAATTTTGGTAATTAATATGATTTGATGATGGTTGTCTAGTATAACCTCTTTTTTTGTCAAACAGAATATTATATATTATAATATAGTCTTAACTGAAGACCATAGAGTAAGGAGAGCATTACTAAAGCCAAGTGAGGACTAAGTGGTCTTGGTGGTTTGGAACAGATTTTTATCTTGGCTTTTTATGTCCTGAGCACAGGAACTGCTCCATGCTGGGCCCTTGTTAGGTTCTGCCTTGCCTTCATCCAATGAAAAGGGAAAGAATGAGGAAGAAGAGAGGTAGTTGGAAGAAAGGGAGATGAGGGGGAAATGATGAGGAAGATGAAAGTAAAAAAGAGAGAAAAAGAAGAAGAAAAGAGAGAAGATAGAGGAGTGATGGAATATGGAGAATAAGGGAGAAAGGCTGTAGTCTTGGCTAGAAGAGTGCTGGGCATAACAAGAGAGGAAGTTGCAAAAATTTATATGTTTCCATTCTATTTTACTCTTTATGTGTATTTTCCTCCCACTTTGCTACGACTGAGGTGTTGAATTTTTGGTTATTCTGACCACCAAACATTCAATTTATGTTTTTTTGATCAGATTGATTGAATTACCTGTCAGTATTATGTCACTGTGTTTGAAATTGTCAACTTTACATGTCTCTACATGAACTTATAGGAATTGTAATGAAGACCTGCACTGAAACTAGTAATATAGCTATTAAATTACAAGAATATAGATCAATTTCATTGTTCAAACTGTTACCTAATTCTGGGGTCATATGACATTTAAAAATTAAGAATTAACATTTTTAAGACACTATAATTAAAGTATACATTATAAGTTGGAAGACAAATTCTCTTTGCTATAACAAAGTACTATGTATTTAATTTGGCAAATGAAAGAAAATGAAAGTATCATTCTTGACTATGTGTCCATTGTATTTCATAAGTAAATATCTTTCATGATGATTTTTTAAGACAGAGATGGGGCCCATGGACTCCCAAAGGGCTCATGAATAGACTTTGGAGGTTTGTGAACTTGGATAGGAAAAAAATTACATTGTTATTTTTACCAACCTCTAGTCGATATTTAATCTTTCCTTACATGATGAGTGTAGGCAACCAACATTATTCTGAGAAGAGTTCATGGACTTCACCAGACCGCCAAAGGGGTCCATAATGGATAAAAGAAAGGTTAAGAACCCCAACTCTAAGATATGACATTATGCTTAGTGAAATCAAGTCAAAAACACAAGCATTTATTGAGCACCTACAATGTTCCTGGCATTTGTGCTAAGCACTGGGGATATATAGAAAGTAAAAAATATGAAAAGAGTACCTACCTTCAAGGAGCTTACATTCTAATGAGTCAAACAATGTAAATAAAAAGATATTCATAGAGTAGAAGAAAAGAACCTTAATATTCCATTTGTTTCTTGAAGCACTTAAAAATAATATTATTCTATAAAGCACTTGTCAGACAGAGTTAGATATTCTCAGAGGATCACTTTCTACAACCTGAGATTACTTGTTATGAAATTTATAGGTTCTCTATGAAGGAGGAGAGCCCATTTTAAAATATTTCATACAGGGCCATTTTTCTCCTAGCTTGACTCTGACTGGCTCTAAAATAATTATTTAAAAATTGATGTGGTAATTATTTCCTGGGTAAAATCACAAATTGCTTCATCCTTTTTAAGCATCCCCTCTCATAAGTGCCACCTTTAAAAGCCAGAAGCAAATTTATTATAGGACTTCAGCTTTGAAGGTAGCTATTTATAAGTCAGGCCTCCTTCTTCCTGCCAAACAAGTTGCAAAGATGTCCTTTATAGCCATCACTTATATTGCTATAAAAGTCTAGAGAAAGCTAATGCAAGTTGAAAAATGGTAAGCAGTTGTTTTAGTAAACAGTTGTTAATATAGTAGACATTTAATAGAAATGGTGATAAAATGTTAGCCTGAGTTCTGAGATGAAAATCCAGCACTCTGAACCTTAAAGATACAGGGGGACCTAATCCTAGTAGGTGCAGGTCAGTACAAGAACCCAGGTGGCCAAAGTTGAGAATAAGCAGGGCCAACCGCTCTTCCCAAAAGTACAGTATAAGATGGAGCCTGGTTTTGACACAAAACCTCAATTTGGAACTAAGGTTAGGGAAATGAGCAAAGTAGAAGAACATATGGAGCACTGTAAAGAATTATAATAGATCTAGAGATGCCCAAAAATCCAACCTAAGAAAATAACTCTGTATCAACCGTAAGCAGAGACTCAAAGAAAAAAAAATGAATTTTCTACAAGGACTACATAAATACCTAGAAGAAATGAAGAAAAAGATAAAAGTTTTGGAAGAATTGGAAAGAGAATAAACAGCTTAGAACAGAAAGTGGTAAATCTTATCCAAATAATGGATTTCTTGGAAATTAGAATAGACTAAATGGAAATCAGAACAAAATTTTAGAACAAAATTAAAAGATTGAAAATAGAAGAAAATGTAAGGTATCTGCTATTAAAATAACTAACCAGGAAAACAAGTCACAGAGATATAATTTAAGTTGAACTATCTGGAAATTATAATTTTAAAAAACTGGAGACTTTTCAGAAATTATAAAACTTTCTAGATATATTAGAATCGGAGGGCAGAATAAAAATGTAAAGAATTACCTGAAAATTACCTTCTAAAGGGAACCTTAAAAGTAAAAGTCCTAGGAATTTCATAGCCAAAATCCAGACTTTCCACCTTCCAGGAAAAAAAAAATACTGCAAGCATCCAGAAAGAAGTGTCCAAGCACCAAGGAATCACAGTCATGATCATGTAAGACCTGGCAGCTCCTACTATAAATGAAAGGAGACCTTAGAATACAATATTCCAAAAGGCAAAAAAATAAAAGTTGGAAGTGAATATCAACCCAAGGGCAAAAACCAGATATTCAATGGAATAGAGGACTCTTTTTGCTTACTGGGCAAATGGGGTTAAGTGAGTTGCCCAGGATCACATAGCTAGTAAGTGTTATATGTCTGAGGCAGGATTTGAACTCAGGTCCTCCTGACTCCAGGGCCAGTGTTTTATCCACTGTGCCACCTAGCTGCCCCAGAATAGAAGACTTTCAAGCATTTCAAGGCCACAGCTCAGTAGGAACTTAGAAATGCCAATATAAGAGTCAAAAGAGAGCTAGAGAGTTAAATTTATTGGAGCAATTGGAAATAGCTGTATGATGTTGAAGGGTTAAAATTTTAATAGGGAGAAAACTAACAAGTATTCATTCAGTTCCTTAATGTCTCCAAAACTGAAGGACTTACGTAAGAAAAACAGAGGACCTGGGCATGTATTGGTTCTGTTCTGAGGGTTTTAAGAGGAGAAAGAGAAGAGAAGATAAAATGAATACATTAATACAGAAAGGAAGAAGAGGGCACAGCTTGCTATTTCTCATAATTTCGCGTGTGAGAAGGAACATATACAAACATGGTGGAAGGGAGGGCCAATGCACATTAGAAGCTCACTTATCTGAACCCACCAAAGAAAGGTTGTGCATACACACAGAGAGAGACTTTGTTGTAGAACTACATTAAACTAAGCTGGGAAACAGATAGAGATAAAATGAGGAAAGACTAAGAGAAGGATAATACCAGGGAATTATTACAAGCAAAACAAAGTTCTTGATACTGAAGAGTGTATGAGAAGAAGGAAAAAAAACAAGGGAAAAAATGAAAGATAAGGTGGGGAAAGGCATCAATGGGAGGATGAATGGATGTATAAATTGTAGTGTATGAATTTAATGGAATATTATTGAACCATAAGAAACAGCAAAAATATTGATTTGAGAGAATCTTTGGAAATAGAAACTGATGCATAGTGAAGTAAGTAGAACCATTTATACAAAGTAAGGAGAACAATTTATACACTAACAATAACGTTGTAAAGAAAAATATCTTTGAAAGTCTTAAGAACTCTGATTAAAGCAATGACGAGTCAGGTTTCTATAGGACGCAGGATGAAAAATGTTATCCGCTTCCTAAAAGAGAGATGATGGAACACCAGCTGCAGAAGGAAACATACATTTTTAGATATGACTACTGTATGAATTTGTTTTGCTTGAACATACTTAGTTGTTACATGAATTTTTTTTCTCTTTTCAGTTGGGGAGAAGGTGTTGGAATAGAAAAAAATAGTAATGGCGATCGCATAAGAAAAGAAAATATAAAAGAGGAGGGCCATTGAAACATAAAAAGTATGCAGAGGAGTACAGAAAGTAGTGCAGAAAGAAGAACAGACAAGCGTGATAGTTTTGAAAGTAGCTTAAATTGATTATATACATTTTAAAAAGTAAACAATATAGAAAAGAAATTGACAGTTTTATATGCAATCCCTTATTATGTTCTACTTTGTATATGGAAATGCTCATTTTTTTTGTTGTCAAAATATTAAGTTCAGAATAGAGACTTTTAAAAAGAAAAAATAGGTATGTTTGCTGCCACTATATAAACTGAAGGTTGCAAGGCTAGCTCTATAGAGATTTCAGAGATTTTCTTCAGTAATTTACCTACAATTAAGATGTACTGTCACCAAGTGGATAGTGGTGACTTGTTGATGGCTTTTATGATGTCGGCAACTGGGCTTCCCATAGTGATAGTAAATTGAATTAGAGAGTAGCCAATTTTTGAACTCAACTTTTTTCTCTCTATAAAAATAAGCTCATCAATGCAGCAAAGCATTAACATTTATTTGATCAATACTCTATGAAAATAATTATACAATTCAAGCAAGATTTAAAGAAATACAGCCACATTGACATAATTAGGTACCTTTCCCAGTAATCCCTTATCTTCTCAAACCCTGCTTAATTCTAATCAAGTCTGGAGAATATGATTAGAACACATCTGTTTAATTCATGCAAATGTTAAATTTCAGATGAAAATTGAAGCCTCAAGTTACTTCAAAACACTGTTGGTTCTAGATGTATAGAACTGTCAAATTGGTAGCGAATTGTACATACTTTCCCCATTCTAGCAAACTAATAAAAGAAATCCTACTTTACTATCACTTATATCTCAGAATTGGCCTCAGTTTACATTTGAGCAAGAATAATTTTTCACATACTTATAATGTAAGTGAAAACTACTTTGAAAAACTGTAAAGTGCTTTGCATAGGGAAGTCATTCACTTTTATTATTTCCATTGTTGAAACATTTTAGAAAAAAATTAAATATATGTTCTTAGTATATAAATTGAATCTTATTTTTCACAGGGACATCTGGTCTCTCGGCTGTGTCTTATATGAGCTGTGCACATTAAGGCATCCCGTAAGTATCAGATTAACCTTAAACTACTGAAGATGTAAAAATGATATTAACTGTTGAAAGGAAAGAGTTGCAGTCTTTTTAACAACAACAACAATAATAACTCACGTTTGCATAGGAAGGAAGGAAATTAGCATTTACCAAGTGCTTATTATGCCAAGGCACTGAGCTAAGCATTGGCAATCCAAATACAAGCATGGTTTTGAAGTCCAGAAAGTCTCCTTCCTGAATGGACAAGAAAGAGGAGGAAGGCAAGCTGGACGAGACCCTTCCACAAAAAGGAAGCTCCACACAGAGCTCAGCAATGGGAGAAGGGGGTATGGGTCTTGCCGAGTGATGTTTCAGGGTGAACAGGTTGCAGGATGGAAGGCTGTTCCAGAGCAAAGAGGTCCCAGGCACTGAGTGATGTTAAAGGAGGAGCCAGCCATAGAAAAGGCCCAGGTGGTTTTGAAGTGTGGGGCCAGGCCTGGGGAGACAATGAAGGTTGGCTGGCCTGGGACCTTCCACAAAATGGAAGTGTCAGGAAGAACTTACCAATGGGATAAATGGGTGAGCACATTTCTATAATGTTTTAGGGTTTCCTCACAACATTCCTATGTGTTACATAGTGCAGGCAACATCCCCATTTTCCAGATGGCTCATGGTGGTAGATTTTGAGGTCGTAGCTGCAATGTTCTTAGTTGCCCAGGTTATAAAATAACATCAGTAAAGATGACTGAGACCAGAGCAGTAGGCAAAGCTGGTCCCTGATGTTTGTGACAGAGTGCATTGAGAGCAGAGTGGAAAGAGTCTGGCTGTTGCATCAGAGGACCTGGGTTCAAATCTTGCCTTTGATGTTTTCTACCTGTGTAATCTTGTCCAAGGCACTTAACTTCCCCAGGCCCCAGTTTCTTCAACAGCAAAATGTGGGGGCTGGGTTATATGGTCTCTGAGGTCCCTTTCAGTTTGAGATCTATGAAAGGGGTGGGAAGGAATAAGCATTTATATGTCACCTGCTGTGTGCCAGGTGCTATGCTAAACACTATTTAAAACCATCTCATTTGATTCTTCTAACATCCCTGGAACATGTGTTTTTATTATCACCATTTTACAGCCGAGGAAACAGAGAGCAAGGGACTTGCCCAGGGTCACACAGCTAGTAAGCATCTGAAATTTGAACTCAGATCTTTCTGATTCCAGACCTCAAGCTCTATGCATTGAACCACTTAGCTCCTTAAAATGCCAATTTTGAGTGTGAAGAAAATGGAAAAAATCTGGAAGCAGAGGTGATTAATTAACATAATTATGTGGAATTATTACTTATTAGTTATATGTCAGTGGGGTGTGAATCAGTCTGTGTGTCATGGGGGTAGGTTCTGATGTGGGTCTCTGGAAGATTCAGAAATGTGGAGAGGATGGCTTCTGAAATTATATGGAAAGTGCTATGTGGTACCATTGCTTTGAGTTCTGAGAATGAAGGTATGCTGGTTCTCAGTTCTGATCCCCACAGAACAATATAATCCTTTGCAGAAATGGTGATGACAAATCTCTGTCAGGTGGAAATATCCGATTGGAGTAGTTCTGGGCTCCCAGTCATCTCTGTGCAGGAAAAGAGAATGCCTGGTGGGTGAGACAGAGCTCAAGCATCATCCTATATCTGGAGATGTGTGTGTGTGTGTGTGTGTGTGTGTGTGTGTGTGTGTGTGTGTGTGTGTGTGGTGACTTTCTCAGTCTTACTGTTAATAGCTCAAGGATCTGAACCAGGTAGAGAGCTCTCGTACAAAATTAGAATATATTTGTTGTTGAAGGAAAAGCAGAGGATGGAGCAGGATGAAAACAAGAACATGTGGGAACCAGGTAGTAATCTGTTATATTCACAATTATTGTAGCCCCAGTTAAGGGTCTAATGCCATTAAGGTTACCACCACTTGAAACACAGGGAACCTGGAAAGGGTTCAGAGGAAATTCAATTCCACAAACTTGAATAAGTGCCTACTACGTGTAAAAAAGAAAATCAAACCATGCCCATCCTCCAAGAGCTTATTGGAGTGATACAGTATTTACAGAGATAAGCATAATACCTGGGAATTTGAGGAGAGAGAGTGAGGGTGGGGCTGGTGGGGAAGAGGATCAGGGAAGCTTTCAAAGAGATGATACCTAAGATGAGCCTTGAAGCAAGAAGATTTTGGAAGGTAGAGATGAGGATGGTGCGTATTAGAGGCATAGGAAGGTGGTTTGTGCAAAAGCATGGAGGGGAGAGTGTTGTCCAAAGTGTCTTCTAAATTTGTGTTTCCTTGATTATCATAATTAACTTTTTTTAACCAGACAATTAATCATTATGGGGAGCTGCCTCTACCAATGTGGGTCAGCTCAATATATTGTCTCAGAGAGATTTACCTGGAGTACACAGTTCAAGTGATTTGCCAAGGGTCATATGACCAGTAGGTTCCAGAGGCAACACTTGAATCTAAGACATGCTGACTCCAAGGTCGGTTCTGTGGCCACTATGCCACAGTGCCTTTCACATAACTGACTCACGCTCAGAATTCTTCCGATTATCCTTTGAATTCTACTTGACTTTATCACCAGTTTGATTGATTAAAGTGTAATCTGCATTCCCTGCAGCGCTTTGGACATTCTTTCTTTAGCTAGAACCTCGTATTTCCCCTCCTTGACCTCCAGCTCAGCCACCATAAGGGTCCTTTAAACAAAACTACTTAATTATTGGTTTCCTCTCCTCCGCAAGGGAAAGTATGAGCACAGCAGATATGAGTTTAAAGAGATGGCAGCAAAAGTTCCAACTATTCCATAGTAGTTTAAGAGGTGATATATAATATTGATTATAAAGTAATGATACTGAATTTTCGTGGTTTTGGTGTGTTTGTAACTTATTAATCAGTATCAATAATTTAGAATAATGTTATGTATTTATGTGCATATTAAAGGAAAGTAAGAGTTAGACAGTGGATCAAATATATCACTTCCAAGAATAGCTTGACTATTTGGCTAGAAATATTAAGTTCTATAATGTCAGATGTGAACATTTTCAAATGTAAAAAAAAAAAAATCTCCTTAGGCCTCAGTTTTCCCATCAATAAAATGAAGAGGTTGTACTAGCAGGGGTGGGGAACCTGTGGGCTCAAGGCTGCAGGTTCCCCACCCCTGAACTAAAGGATGTCTAAGTTCCCTTCCAGTTTAAAGATCTATAACTGTCTATGGCTTCTATATAGAAATCTGCCCACCTGCAGATGGGCATTCCTATTAGCAAATGGTTACACTGACCTTGCCCATAATGGAGGACTACCATTTAGGAATATTAATTTTGCCTTGAAGTAAACAGAATAAACAAATCCTTTTTCAAATGGGAACTAGTCTGCTTGCTCTTTTTAGCTGTTCAAAGTCATCAAAGCCACTTTGACAAATCCAAAATATCTCGAAAGGACCTTATAATGAGCTCATTACTTAGTGATTTTGCTTGCATTATAATATCCCTCTATTAAAGTATATTAATACTCCAGCTGATTTTGATTACTTCTGAGTCTCTGGACTCAGGCAAGGTCAACAGCAGCACCTAACATCGAATGGACAATGTTTTCATTTACCATTATGAGGCAAAAATGTCCGTTATTTTTGTGTGCTACCTGATACCAATTGAAGGCAGTGTGGGTAGTGGAAAGAATGCTGAATTTGGAATCAGAAGACTTGGGTTCAAATCCCAACTCCGCATTTACTTACATGTGTGAATGTAAGCAAATCATTTCATGTCTCTGGCCCTCAGTTTCTTCATTTGTAAAATTAGGATGTTAGATTAGATGGCCTTTAGAAGTCCCTTCCAGTTCCAAATCTATGACTAGGTGATCCATATAGCAATACCTATTATTAGTGGAAATGATGGACAGCTGACTTTATGCTGGTATGACATGCCTTCCCCCTGGGTCCTCTCGGTCCCAGTACATTACTTAAGCTGTTGTTGTTGGTCCTTCGTTTTTGAAGAGGACCAATGACACTACAGTGATGTCCTGACTGGCCTGTGAATTGGATTTAAGTGAGGCGGAGTTGCACAAAGTGTCAGCCTCACTGTCTCTTCCCAAGTTATCAAAGTCCAGTGGTAAGATAAAAGTCAAGATGACTGGCGATGGCTGGGGATGTGGGGGATGACCTTGGCATTTTCAATGCCTGACCAAGCTCTTAGCCCTGGCCACAGCGCCTGCTTCCGCTGCCTTCGTGACCGTTGGAACCCATTGTTCTCATCCACTCACTCTGTTGGGGAAGGCCTTCACGTGCTTGGGGTAGACATCCCCCTAGCTCACTGGCAAGTTTGAGGTCTTAAGCTAATGTGATACTTTTGAAATTCTGCACAATGTATTTAACAGAATCTGTTGCCTGACTGATAAATTCATGACATAAATTATATCATAAGGTAGGGATTCTAAAGAGTTTCTGGTTAAGCTTCAAGGGCTCTGTGAACTCGGGAGAAAAATCATCTTTATTTTCCTTAACCTTTAACTGAAATTTAGCGCTTTCTTCAATTATTTTAAAACATGATTCTGAGAAGAGGTCCATAGACTTCACCAGGCTGCCAAAGGGGTCCATGACATACACATGAAAAGTTAAGAAACCTGGTCTAAGAAATTACTGTGGGGCAAGAGAAAATAGGAGAATGTGTATATTGTACAGTGGCATTGTTTTTATTTTAAATATGAAATTACTGGAGTTAGAACTGACAGAATTTCAGCATATAACCTTCATCATGACCCTAGAGGAAGAGATGTTTCTATAGAGCTAATGCTTCCTAATGACAGTATTCTATCAGCTAACTGTCATGGTTTGAGTTTATTGGCAGTATTTTTAACAGAAGCAAAAAAAATTCCTCCACTTCCTGATACATGTATTTCAATACTCCAAGCACTAATGGTTTCATTGGTGTCAATACCCCCAGATTTGAAGATCCCAGCCTTTCTATGCCTTCACTAGACAATGGTAATAATAATTTGGGGCAAGTTAGGTGACTCAGTTGACAGAGCATTGGAATTAGGAAGACTCATCTTCCTGAGTTTAAATCTGGCCTCAAACACAAGCTGTGTGACCCTAGATAAGTTGCTTAAACCTAGATAAGTGTCCTCATCTGTAAAATGATCTAAAGAAGGAAATGGCAAACTACTCCAGTATCTGCCAAGAAAACCTCAAATGGGTCAATGAAGAATCAGACACAACTGAAAAATGACTGAACAATGTAATAATAATGATAATATATATAAATAAATGTATAATAATACAAACACCCTAATAATATATGATACTATATAAACCTACATTGATAATATACAAATGTATAATAACGTAAAGATAATAATGATGATATAGATAGCAAGTATTTATGTATGATTTAAGGTTTGCAAAGTATTTATAAATATGATCTCATTTTATTCTCACAGTGACCCTGGGAGGTAGGTACTGTTATTATTATTTTACAGATGAGGAAACTGAGGCAAACAGAGTCTTGCTTTGCCCAGGATCATACAGCTAGTAAATGCCTAAGGCCAAATTTGAACTCAAGTCTTCCTGATTCCAAGTCCAGCACTCTATCCAATGTGCTACCTAGCTCCCAACGTTCTTGACCTTATTTTTGCCAAAAAGAAAAATTTTTTAAAAATTCGTTGCTTGGTAGCCAACCTGGTATTGAGCCTCTGACTTTAATTAGACCAGTTTCTAGATGGCAGACATACAGTCTAGTGGCCATGTAAGAAGCCCATGTATCTTCAGAGGACCTGTCATAGTTTGTGTTCTGCAGGTTCAGTTTCAGATTCCCATGATCACTGAACCAACACTAGGTGCTACCATAAGACACCATAATGTAATATTTTAGCATGATATCAATGATTAATAATACTGATTTTGATTTGTTTCATAGATTTCCATGGTCAAAGAATTTGTTGCTTAGTGGTTAAACTTTCTGATTTTCTTTATAGTTAGCTAAGCTGGTCCTCAACAGATAATAATAATTATTATTCTTAGCACTTATGTGGTGATTTAAGGTGTGCAAAGTACTTTATGTACATCATATCATTTGCTCTTCACAACAGTCCTGTGAGGTTAGGGGTTATTATTACCCTTATTTTGAAGAGAAAAAAACTGAAGCAAATAGAGGTTAAGTGACTTGCCTAGGGTCATTGTTGTTGTTCAGTCATGTCTGACTCTTTGTGACCCCATGGACCATAGCATGCCAGGCCCTTCTATCCTCCATTATCTCTTGAAGTCTGTCCAAGCTCATGTTCATTGTTTCTATGACACTATCTATCCATGTCATCCTCTGCTGTCCCCTTTTCCTTTTGCCTTCAATCTTTCCCAACACCAGGGTCTTTTCCAGTGAGCCCCATTTTCTCATTATGTGACCATAGTGTTTAAGCTGCTGTATTTGACCTTCTGCTGAATAGCCTGAATTAATTTCTGTAAGTATTCATTAGTTTGATCTTTTTGCTGTCTCAGAGACTCTCAAAAGTCTTCTTCAGCACCACAATTAGAAAGTGTCAATTCTGTAACTCTCAGCTTTCCTTAGAATCCAACTGTCATAGCTGTACATTGCTACTGGAAAAACCATAGCTTTGACTATATGGATCTTTGTCAGTAAGGTGATGTCTCTGCTTTTTAGTCTGCTGTCCATATTTGCCATAGCTTTCCTTCCAAGGAGCAAGCATCTTTTAATTTCATGGCTGCAGTTGCCATCTGCAGTGATCTTTGAGCCCAAGAATATAAAATCTGACCCTGCTTCCATTTTCTTCTCCCTCTATTTGTCAGGAAGTGATGGGACCAGTTGCCAAGAGTTTAATATTTCTGATGCTAAACTTCAAACCAGTTTTACACTCTTCTCTTTTACCCTCATCAAGAGACTTCGTAATTCCTCTTCACTCTGGCCAGGGTCACATAGCCAGTAAATATCTTGAGCCTGGATTTGAACTCAACCTTCCTGACTCTATCCACTATGCCACCTAGCTGCTCCAGATTATTAGGCACTGTCACTAGATAGTTCTTGAAGCCTTTCTATCTTGGCAAAACCTTCAATCACTTGTGCTCTCGTGGCATAACCTTTGAAGACCTAAGGCTCTTTCTGCACTAATCCATACTGGTAGACATCCACTGTTGACATCACAGCTCCATTGAAATATCTAAATCATATAGTGTTAATAATAGAGTAATTAGTAATTATATATACATAGTAATTGCATATAGCTATATAATAATGTAGTTATTAGTAAAGAATGATATAGTAATATCTATATGTAGCTAGGGGAAATTTCTTATGCAATATCATTTATTCCCTGACATTGTAGTTTGAAGGTACCAACTTACAACAGCTGGTGCTCAAGATTTGTCAAGCACGTTTTGACCCCATCTCTCCAAAGTTTTCTTCTGACCTACAGACTCTAGTAACTCAGCTTTTTAAAATACCTCCTCGAAATCGGCCGTCAATTAATTCCATCTTGAAAAAGCCCTTCTTGGAGAAGCTCATTGCCAAATATTTGTCTCCTGCGGTGAGTTTCTTGGTCAGGATCTTTGGGTTTTCACCAATGTTTTGAGAAACTGAGATAATCACACATTATGGGTTTTATTTTTAGGTAATACAAGAGGAATTCAGTCATACACTAATACACAGAAAGAGACCAGCAGCAGCCCAGCCTGTAACTAATCTGGCCAAAGGTAAGAGTTTTTTAGTCACACTTACCAAAAAACATTTATTAAGGGTTTTCTGTAGATGTTATTGTGCTAAATGGTACAAAATAAGTTAAAGTGTACTGTTCCTATATTTATGGAGCTTAATGAAATAACTCACATTAATATAGCACTTTAAGCTTGGGTACTTTGCTGCTTCAATGACATGTCATGACCTGGCCTCTTCCTACCTTTCCAGTCTTCTTACACCTTCCTTCCCCCAACATACTTTGCAATCCAGCAACACTGGCCTCCATACTATTTCTCACAAAAGATGCTCCATCTACTGACTCTCTGTATCTTTTCTGGCCGTTCCCCTATGCACAAAATGTTCTCCCTCCTCACCTCCATCTCCTATCTTTCCTGGCTTCCTTCACATCTCAGCTAAAATCCTACAGTCTTCAAGAAGCCTTTCCTGGTCCTCTTTAGTCTTAGTACCTTCCCTCAGCGTCCACCTCCAATGTATTCTGTATGTATCTTGTTCAATGTAGTTGTTTGTGTGTTATCTCCCCTAATAAATTGTGAGATCCTTCAGAGCAGGAACTGGGGTTTTTTCCCTTTCTTTGTATCCTCAGCACTTAGCACTGTTCCTGGCACATAGTAGGTGATTAATAAATGCTTATTGATGTGACGCTTTGAGGTACTAGATAGTACAAGAATTATTACACCCATTGACGAATGATGAAATTGAGGCTCGGAGAGTTTTGAGTGACTTGTGGGCCAGGGCCATACAATTGTAATCTTTGTGTCAGAGACTCCCTCATAAAGGGTTTTAGCTTTAGAACCTGAAGGGGACTTTGAGGTCACCTAGTCCAACTCTGTCATTTTGAACATGAGGAAACCGAGGCCCAGAGAAGTTAAATGACTTGTCCAAGGTCACATGCTGGTTAGTAGCAGAGTCAGGATTTGAATCCAGGTCTTCTGACTCCCATGCTAACACTCTTTCTACTGTACAGTGTTATCTGTCACATATTTTTGATGATTTTCTCATTCTCTTAGTTTTAGCTCCCCATAGGAAACATAGGGGAATTGTATAGTATACGTGGTACTTTGTGGCATACCAAGACCAAATTCCAACTTGTAATTAGGCAATTTATGCTATTATGTATTATTATCTCATTGGCTCATTTTACCCACACCCAGAGTTTCCTTTGGGATACTTGGAATATAATTAGTGTCTAGGTCTCTTCCTGTGGTTAAAGGGCATGGAATTCCTATGCAAGCACTCAGGCTAACAATATCAAGTACAAGACAGCCTTAATTTAATCTCTTAGAAAAATGCAAAATAACATAACTCAGAGACATCTATAACAGTCAAGACATTCTCTTTCTCTCTGGTCAGTCTTACTTTCCACAGAGGAAAATACTGAGACCTCTAATCTCATATGGGCCATTTTAAGGGTTTGGAACCCTCTGGGAAATAAACTTGGGATGGATAAAGAGGGAAACCCCTTTCCACTGAACCTGCACTATCCAAATAACTGATGGTAATTGTGGAAGGAAAAGTCAGTTTTGTTGCTCTGCATTATGGCTCAGT